CAGCTTGCAACTGAAACTGCATTCCATAAATGTTTTCAAGATGGTAACTAGGTAACTGAAGTTTCTGCTACGCAAAATTCTAACTGGAGCATGATTGATGACTTTTGGATATGGATGTGTCTCACTGGAGAATACAAATTAGGATACATCCAGGGGTGGGGGAAAACCTGGGTGACAATGAATGATGTGTCTCAGAGTTGGCTATACCCAGGCAATGCCACACCTTTTAACTCCCAATAAATCCTTTTGAAGTTTTGGACTCTGAGACACTTAAGGCACTTAACCTTAACCTGACACCATCATAAAATGTGGTCACATGATTGCAGGATGCTGCACATGACTGTAAACGCACGCATGTTGGCAAGCACTCAAAGTGTGGTCACATGAGGTTGTCAGTTCCCTTTTTTAGGTAGGTTGTAATTTACAGATTACAGATTAACAGAGTTGGAAGGGACCTTGTAGGTCATCTAGTCCAACCCCCTGCCAAGCAGGAGATGCTACACTATTTCTGACAGATGGCAGTCCAGTCTCTTCTTGAAAGCCTTCAGGCTTTCAAGAAGCTCCCACAACTTGTGAAGGCAACTTCTGTTCCATTGGTAGATTGTTCTCACTGTCAGAAACTTTCTCCTTATTTCTAAGTTGAATCTCTCCTTGATCAGTTTCCCTCCATTGCTCCTTGTCTGGCCTTCAGGTGCTTTGGAAAATAGCTTGACCCCCTCCTCTCTGTGGCAGCCCCTCAAATATTGGAAGATTGCTATCATGTCCCCCTTGGTCCTTCTTTTCATTAGACTAACTATGCCCAGTTCCTGTAACCGCTCTTCATATGTTTTAACCTCCAGTCCCCTAATCATCTTGGTTGCTCTTCTCTGCACTCTTTCTAAAGTCTCAACCTCTTTTCCATAATGTGTTGACCAAAACTGGATGCAGTACTCTAGGTATGGTCTTACTAAGGCTTTATAGAGTGGTATTCGTACCTCACTTCAAGCGGTTACTAAGCAACCAGTTATAAGTTGAGGTCTATCTGTAATCCGTACACAAGAACACATAACTATAACTTCTGTTTGCTACCAAGTCCTGCTTATTCATCCTCAAAGCCAATGCAGAGTTGGTCAGCAAATACCATCCCTTGGAATAGTGGCTGGAGAGGGAGACATCAGATAGAAATCAAAATTTCACCTTTACAATAACACTTCAGTTTTTCATCCCATTCCTTCTAATAAGGCATTTTTTTAAATGAGATGACTTTGATGCTCAACTACCATCCCAATCAAATCAAAAATATGATCCAGTTCCAAATTGCCAAGACTCCCCAAGAATGTGATAGCTTGCCTCAAACCCAAAACAACATGGCAGGATTCTTCATTCAAATCATTTCATATACCTTTTTGGGTACATATAAGAGGCCTTCTGTTTCTCCTAGCAAACCATTTATTTATTTATTTATTATTTTATTTTTATTTGTCAATTGCTTACAAGATAATAGGTATAAGTAAAAACATAGTTATGAATACAAGGATACATATAAGAAAAATAATATATATATAAAAGAAACAATAGGGCAGGGACGGTAGGCACGTTGGTGGCTTATGCACGCCCCCTACAGACCTCTTAGGAAAGGGGTGAGGTCAATAGTAGACAGTCTAAGGTTAAAGTTTTGGGGTTTGGGGAAAAAACCACAGAGTCAGGTAGAGTGTTCTAGACATTGACCACTCTGTTGCTGAAGTCATATTTCCTGCAATCAAGGTTGGTGCGGTTAACCTTGAGTTTGTATCTATTGTTTGCTCTTCTATTGTTATGGTTGAAGCCGAAGTATTCATTGACAGGTAGGACATTGCAATGTATGATTTTATATACTATACTTAGATCGGACCGAAGGCGGCGTAGTTCTAGGTTTTCTAAGTCTAGAATTTCAAGCCTGGTGGCATAAGGTCTTCTGCAAGGTATTCACAAGAATACCTTATTCATAAGGTATTCACAAGAAGAGTTCTCCACTCCTCCACTCCACTCAAGAAGAGTGGAGAACTCTTCTTGTGAAATAATTCTCGACTTTCTCAACTGTGCTAATATCAGATACGTAATGTGGGTTCCAGACTGATGAGCTGTATTCGAGTATTGGTCTAGCAAATGTTTTGTATGCTCTAGTTATTAGTGTAATATATTTCCAGAGAAAAAGGAGAGTTGCGTACTTACACAACCCATATTTCTGCTCTGAGATTCATTTTATTTGTGTTTTTTTGCCTGCCCTATCAAATTCTGGTGGCTGCAAGATGAATGGGATTCCCTTCGTTGGAGGATCATAATTTGATCGCTCTTCTGGCAAGAGAAGTGCAGGTGGCGGAGGGAACACGAGCCGTCAATTAACCTTCCAACTCTTCCAAATGCCCTGGAGAAAGCAATGGCTTGCCAAGCAAGGTGCCAACTAGCGTCAGTTGATCCTGATACTCACCACTCAGCAAGAACAAAAACACATTCAGTGTCTGCTGGATAGAAAACAGCAGCATGGATTTTTTTTTTCAAGGAGAACCATTGCATGCGGGGCGGGGGGAGGAAGGGGCAAAATGCAAACACAGTTAAGAAAAGGACAGATGAGTTATGGAGCAGCAGAACCTGATAAGTTGGCCCTTTGGACTCTGAAACCAAGCCATGGTTCCTAAGATTTGGATTTGACCCCACATGGAAAGAGTGTTTTGTTAGTGTGAAAAGGAAACACACCTGGGAAGGGATGAAAACACACACGCATACAAAGGAATTCTACCGTTCAAAGTTGCATTAACATACAGTAGGCCTCATCTCATTTCCAGACTTAAAGGCCAACTGCTTTATATATGTTGCCTGCCTTCTTTCTTCCAATAATTGTGGGATTTTGTTTATTATATTTGGAGTGATGAATTTGACATCCCTCCAATGCAAGTAATGGGCACTAACAATTGTCTGAAGGTTGAATCATGACAGGCAGTGGTTGTCAAGCAGCTTTATCAGTCAGAGCAAATCGGTCTTTGAAATGGACCAACTCTTGCCACACCAACTTTTGGAGTTTCCTCTGCAAGGCATTTTGGGAAGAAAACCTCTGAGGTTGGCATGGCAAGAGTTGGTACATTCCAAGGACTCTTTGCCTAATGACTTGCATTGACTGATGAAGCTCCTTTGATGAGCAGTGAAACATCTCGAGCTAACAAAAAATGTCCAGTTGTTCAACCTTCAGACACTGGATGACTGTGAGTCTTCAATGGTACTACCAATTAGAAAATGAATACAGGTTACTTTTAAACTTGGCTAATACTCTGCACAAATTCAGAAAATGGGTAAAATTGGTGACCAGGCTAAATATGTCATCCAGGCATTCCAATCAGCAGTTTGCTGTTTTGCAGAATATCTGGTAGGCACAAGGAACCAGGAACAGGAGTTGAGTACAAAGCCCTAAAAGTTTATTACATGCAACCTATACACAAGAAGCGGATCTACTAACAATCAATCAAAATTGGTGCTAGATAAGGGTCAATGGAATTCAGGATGGGGGGGCTGAACGTGGATCTTTTGTGGGAGCATAGTAACTCCTAACTAATTGTGCATTTATTCCACCCTCCAGCTCAGACTGTTCCCCTCCTGCATCACCTAGGCCAAAGTATTCCTGCTTCTTCCTGGGAAATGTAAATATATTTTTCTTTTCATTCAAGCCATCCTTTCCTTTCCTCCAATGGGGTGCTGGTGGCTTTCATAGTTGATTCTGTGTGATCCCGTTTCACATGTTCCATTTTCAAAAGGAGCACTATTTTTATGGCCAGTATTGGGAGCTACATTTAAATGTCTGCTCTCGAGTGTAATCAAGACTCAATTACCAAAAATAATTGTACTGTCAGAAACCAAAGAATACAGTCACTGGGCATAAGCAATAACAGATGAGACCATTAAGAACTTAATGAGTGTAATAGTCAAATATCTTCTGAATCTCATTGGCACTTCACCTGTAAAATCCATTGCTAATAGAGGAGTTACTTCAAAGAAAGATAGTTTTTCTCCCTTAAATAATTTACCTTTCAATGATAGAATCAAGTTTGCTTTGTAGGAGGAGAACTTTGTTGGGTCTATGAGGGCAAAGAAAAAAAATCACGGGGAGTCTGGTAGCCCCTTTTCCAGCTAACTAATTTCATTAAATGGCTTAAAGCTTTCTTGAGCTGCAACTCATTTGATCAGATGTATAAAGTGGCTAAATTGATGCAGAATTTAAAGCGGGAGGAAGGAAGGGAGGAAATGACAAGAAGAAAGATTGTTTATACAGATACAGGATGTACATGAGACAGATCATAAGTGCCTTATCAATTAACAATTGAGATGTGTTCAAAACCCATTACATTTATTGAGACCTTCTGAGATTGCCTAAAACCTTTTGATGTGAATCGAGCATTCTGTTGCTCATCATTTTTTATTTCTTATTTTATATCACAGAGTGAAGTACAGGGGTCATCTTAACACTGAAAAGTTTAAAAGTTTGATATAGAAATAAATAAATAAAAATTCAGGGTGGCCTCCTATCCGTTAAATTTTGGGCATATTCAACTTGTATTTGGAATGAGTAGAAAGCAGAAATGTTGAAGAAGCTTACACAACATGAGTCTACACCACCTCTTGTCTTAATTTGGTAGATGTTACTTTACTAAAAAGACCACCATTTGCTAGCTTTTCATAATAAAATGCCAATGGTTTTGCTCACATAACATTCTAAGCCAAAGCTTAAAGGAACAACATGATAGTTTAACACTACACATGAAGCCCACCATAGACACTTTATGTGGCAGTGCCTTCAGAGATATCAGAGTTTACATCCCAGATCAACTTGGTTCCTAAGCCAAAGCCAAACTAAGATCATTATGGCTGGAGTTTACATGTGATTCCAGTTCTTGGGTCAACCATCGTAAAGACCTGTGGAGAGACCAGGTGACAGTTGCAGAGCAGATAATTTTTCCATCACAAGGAAGCCTCAGTCAGATCATGACATTTCTTACCAGGATGATTGAGCTGCATGGTACTCCTGCTCCACTGTGACAGCCCTACAATAGCCACCATCTTGGCCCCCAGGCTGGATCTCCGCTTCTTAGTGGAGGAGAGACTGGCTGAATCAGAATTGCCACCATTACTCTTCTCTATGTTGTACATTTCTCCACTGATGCTGGAGCTACGGACCACATTCCTGGCTGCAGAGTTGCTCGTCTCCCCATTCAGCATGACCACTTGGGGGGACCTCACTGGCTGCAGACCATCTGGGTGAAGCTGCAAGAGAAGACCAGGAGACATGAAGCAGGAGAAGTTGGTTCCTCTGTTAACAACAGAGGCAGGCGCACTGCTTTGGTCTGTAGAACAATGGGATCAGTACATTCTCTATACTTTACCCTGACCTGATACCAAATCAACATGGGTCCAGCTAATTTCCTAAAGCTATACTTGCACAACCATACCCAAAAAGAGAGGAATGGAGACTGAATGAAAATTGCCCAGAACTATTAGATCCAGCAATGCTTTCTTGAGAAAGGTGGTCCATCACCACCTTTGGAGTACTGTAGAAAGAATCATTGCATCTCTTGGCCATGAATTTACCATCATGGATGTGCCATATATCATACCTGGGAGGCCTTAATCAACCAGGTGGGTCGTGGGTTTAATAAGCAGGTGGACAGAGTGACAGTTGCGAAGATCCTGTCCACTTCTGTAAGATTCTTTTCAGGCAACAGGAAAAGACCAACTCAACACAACCTGCCCAGCCAGAGCCTAACTTAGAAGAGATCCAGGCAACTTTATCCAGCAGAAGACTAGACTATTCCTCATGGAAGCTTTGTAGATGTGTTGGGAGAGGAGGAAGCAAGGGAAACTTCCCATCTTTTTTATTATTACAACTACAACCCAGTAATGTGTGACTAATGCCACATTTTCCAGGGATTTTCCATGGTTGAGGGAGGATCTGCCCCTTGGTCTATCCATTCCTGGTTCAACACCCGTACCACCACATCACAATGGTCTTTCACCACAATAAAATGGTACACAATGGAAGATATATTTAATATGTTTATAATACAATTATTCTCCCCGCAAAGTTGAGTATGTCTGGCAGGAAGACGTCTGTTGCTTTCTGTTGTTCCAAAAGGATAAAATGAACAAGAGATTGCCTGAATTTTAGAAAAGGTCAAAATGCCCATTACTGAAGATACATCCTGGAAGCTTTTGCTGGTGAATTTTTTTTGTTTCTTTTTTGTTTCATTAAAAATAATTATGGTTTATAAATGCCAACCCTCTCTGCTTGTTAAAGTTCATGCTATTTGTATTATTGGATGACTAGTACCAACTACCAGATACAGTGAAAGCCAATCCATGCCCTGCTGGAGAGCTAAACTATATTTAATGTTCAATTTAATGTTTTCTAGGATACAAGAATAGAAATAGTAACTATTCTGCGCTCCTTCAGGAAGAAGTGATTGAAATGCAAAGATTATCAGAATGAATTCAGGGGGACCTACATTTTAACAGCTCAGGGGGTGACAAAATACCTTCCTGGAAGTCGTAATCTGCAGTCCAGAATCAGTTCCTCTAATCCCAGAAGGCTTGTTATCGGGAAAGACTGGTGATTCTTCCAAGTAGATTTTTTTATTGTTCCACAGGGTGTTTAGATCTGGCCTGTAGGGCCACCCTGGAAACAGTGGAAGATCAGCCCATGGGGCCTCCGACAGAAAAAAATGGAGCTTGGAAGGGCTGTACATGGCACTCACGAGCTCTGTTTTTACTGGCAGAGGGTTGCAGGAGGCTGTCGTGGCTGAAAACGGAGCTTGGGATCCGGTTTTCGCAGAGCATTTGGGTCATCGCAAGTGCTCCTGTCATGAGTGACATTGAGTTGGCCATGCCCCACTCCAGCCTCCCTGAGGTCAAACACAACCCTGATGTGGCCCCGCAGTGAAATCGAGTTTGACACCCGTGAGCTGGAGTACCAATGATTTGGCACCAGACTCCATTCATGTAGCACACTCACTTCAGACAAAAAAAAATGACTAAAACCAACCAAATGATGACCATGGTTTTTCAAACCAAAGACACCAGATAATATCTCTTTCTAGAACTAGGGAAAAATGCATCAAAACCTTAGAGAACTGCTGTTAGTGTGAAAGAGCTTTCTGCACCTGTTCAAAATTGCTTTTCTGTGTTTCTAGGCATGTCTGGATGATAAAAGTATATAATAGGATTAAAACCATGGCTCACATGAATGTCTTTCATATGGCTTCTAGACGGACTTGACCCCTTCTTATCAATGCAGTGGTAACTGCAGCCACAAAACAGACCTCTAGCTGCACTGTATAGATGAGAATCTCTTGTTTTCATAGCTGACCCAATGATTGTATTTAAAAAAATGTAGTCCTCTTATATGGGGGAAATAGCTGTGGTGGTGGTACTTCCAAAGGCTCACTGATGTCCTAGAATGTAGACTGGATTCCCAAGAGGGAGGGGCTGCATTCCAGAGAAACAGGAAACAGCAAACTTTGATTAGTTTGGTCAGGAGAAAAAAGGCTCCTCCCTAATGATTCCCAGAGTATATCTATAGTGATAACAAGAATGGCTTTGGTGAGGAAAATAAAAGAAACAGTTCCGAAGTTCTTCTTTGTGTCTTTTTCAATACTTGGGGCCTGACATCTGGTAACCCCTGAAGCTTTAGCTAAAAAAGACTTTTTTTTCTTTTTTTTTTTAATTTATGTACTGGCTATCTCATTCTCTGAGTGGCCCTACTTTTTTTTTGTCCCACTGGTTGGTGTTTCTGTGGCTTTGGATAATGAATCCTGCTAGCAGGAGTAATACATTCATTCATTTTGCTAAAAGCTTTCAACTTCAAATATTATGCGATATTAGATAGGCAGCCTGAAACCGAAAACTAACAGAGCTAACATATCCAGATGACTCAGTTACCAAGATAACAAACAGTAACATTGCCATAAATACATTTGGTGCAACTTTGCTAGAGCCAGAGCTAAAAATGCTCCTATTTCTTTATATTCTTCTGTCACACTTTTGGTGCTGATTACATTTTCTCTAAAAAATATCCCCCCTCCCCCCCCAAAAAAAAGCATTTTATGTAAGTATTTATCTTCTCCAATGTGGTCCATATATTCCTTTATTGGGTTACTGATGCTTTACTGATACCTCCATCCTCTAGTGCAGACTTTCTCAATCTTGACAACTTGAAGATATGTGCACTTCAAGTTCCAGAAGTCCACACATCTTCAAGTTACCAAAGTTGAGAAACACTGCTAGAAGAACAATTCACAGTTAAATTCTGAGACTTGTACCCCAACACAACTAGAGATCACATAGAGGACAAAATCTATTCAAGAAATATATACTGATTGATTCACATGATACACTTAAATCAGGTCAGTTGTAGGTCTGTTAGCTGCATTCTCACATTACCCTCAACCCAGCTAAAGTTAACCTGCATTTCTTTTTAATGTTATTGTTTAGCATGTTATGTGAATCCAGATTCACAATTCAACTTGTACAGACTGGTTGAATAAGGAGCTGCATGTTCGGTAAACCCAGACCTTGATTGAAAAAACATCACAGAAGCAGCTCATTTTTTGACAAGATATGTGTATGTAATCAAAGGTGACTGAAGGGAAGAAAACTCAAAACATCATATTCCCTGCATTATTCACTTCTTAATCATAAAGCCAAAGCTGCTTTCTTTCAAAACAACACCAGCATCATGCTACAAGCATTCTCCCAAGATGCCTCAATATTATTAAAATGTTTCCTGGAAAATGGCAAAACAGAGAGTATTACAACATTTCTATTTACAGTGCAAAATTGGCATTCTGTAGATGTTCTATGACACTTCCAGAGCAATTTTCATGAAATCTTATAACCAGTGTTTCTTAATCTCAGCAACTTTCAACTGGGTGAATTTCAGCTCCCAGAATTCCCCAGTCAGCTGTTGAGATTTAAAAAAAAGATACATATTTCTTGGAAGTCTATGGAGATACTCAGTCATCTAGGACCTGGTTGTCCCAAAGGTGCTTTTCCAAAGGGCAAGTGGACTTTCTTTGTTTTTCCATGAAGATGTTTCGCTTCTCATCCAAGAAGCTTCTTTAGTTCTTAGATGAAAAGTGAAACATCTTTAAGGAAAAACAAAGTCCAGTTGCCTTTTAAAAAAGCACTGTTGGGAAGATTACCCTTTAACTTAATGCAACAACTTTTTTGTACCCTTTTTCAATGATCAAGTGATAATTATTTAGATATATATTTTAAGGCCAAGAATAAAAACAAATACATCCTTACGAAAGCACACCACTTTTTCAAATATTTGTACTTGCATGGAGAACAGGAATGTTAAAGCATCCCTACCTATCCTTTGCTCCCTGGATTTTACCTTCTCTGCTTGGTAACTTGGCAGAGTGTAGATACTACAAATGGCATCTGGGGACCATGAAGAGGCTTGTCCCCTTCCTCCCCCACCTGCAGATTCCAAAATCGGAGCCTTTCTTGGACCATTTCTCCTTATGGGTCAGCCTAGCTCCCTGGTCTCTCAGAACAGACCTCTGATTTGGGGTGCTGCCAGAAAAGGTGTGAAATGCCCAGCCGGATTACTTACTAGCTTTGGTTGTTTTTTTTTTCCCACTTGCTATGAATAATTCAGCCTTCCAGGGCAATGGACGCCTCCTCCTTCTTCCTGAGGAAACTAAATTATTCATTCCCAGCCACTTTGCAACAACAGAGGGAGAAGGTATTGGCAACACCTGGGAAAATGTTTCCAGGAACACCACTGATATAAAAGAGGAAGTAGGAGAGACAAAAAGAGAGATGGAGGAAAGAAGAGAGGCGAAATAAATAATAAAATCACCATTCTTGACTACCGAGCAGCAAACGGCACGCCTTCCACCAGAAGGTCAAACTAGAACCGGACAGCAGCGTCCAGCAACTTTTCTTTCTCTTCCCTAGCAATGTCTGGGGTTTCTCTTTTCGGGAACGGGTGTTATTTTGATTTCCAAAAGCAGCAGCTGGGGAAATCAGTTCATTTCGCCAAGCCAAGCCAAAGTGTTCAAGTCAGAGATGGGTCAATTGAGAGCCATCAGTAGAAACCAGACCACTGCCGTTCCCTGCCCAGCCAAAGTCCCAGGATAGCCATTCTGAACCACAAGTGTTGGAAGAGGCCCCTCCATTTCTAAAGAGAGAAGACCGTTTTTCATAGGTGGGACCTTTTTACGTGCATCACGCGAGAAATGCATTTGTTCCAC